ACAACTCCAAGGGCACTGTCTGCACTGTGGTCTGTGACAGTGGTAGTGGCTCTCTCCTGGTCCTCCAGGATTCTGGTGCGCCCCTCAGAATGGATGTGGCTGTCAATGGGTTGGGGCTCATGACCCTACTGGGTCATAACTTGTCTCTTGCTGGGCTCCAGTTACAGTGGATGTTCTTGAAAGGCATTTGAGTCGAATTGACAACCCGCCCCCCCGCCCCCAGCCCCTAACTAGACGGCTTTTATTCATAGTGCTTTCTCTCCTCTCTCAACTATCCCATACCCTTCCCCGCCCCCACCAGAAAGAGAGATGACACTTCCTGTCTCTGGAACAGCATCCCTTCCTCTTTGCTTTCCCACAGGTTGTCAGAAGTGAGAGCTCACTTCTCACTGGCTTTTTTGTCTCTCTGACCCTTCAGAGAAGGGAGGACCTGGTTGTTACTGACTCAGCTGCGCTTTCTTGCTTAGGGTGTGTGTGTGTGTGTGTGTGTGTAAAAGAATAACTCTCAGGTTTCTGGTTTGAGCAGATGGGTAGTTGATGGTGTCTAGTGGGTCACTATCTACCAGTAGATAGGAGAGAAACAGGTATAGGTAAGGTTGTTGTTTATATACATAGCTACATAGATGTGTATATACTTCTATGTGTGTGTCTATGTATATGGGGGAGGGGAGAGAGAGAATTCACATCTTTACTGAAATTTTTAAAAATGTGCCCTACACAAAAAAAAATGGGCAATGACTGTTCATTTATTCAGTTCATTTAATAGCATTTGGTGAACTGCTCTTGTGCTGTACAGAATTTGAATCTGGCAGAAAACCACTTTGAAAAAACTCACAAGACCATGTGAAGAACATTCTTGAACCTCCCTTTTTTGCCTCACCTGCCGCCCCCCCATGGCCAGCAAGGCCCGTTTGTCCTTGAGCTGAAATAGTTCTTCACCTGCTTCCTCCTTCCCGTTCCGCTGCCCTCACTCCGCTCCCAGCCACCATCTCTCCCTGGATGTCACAGCAGCCACCTCACTGTTTTTCCTGCTTCTTTTGAATACCCGCTTCCCCCAGCAGTCTCTATACAGCAGCCAGGGGGCCTTCAAAAATGTAAATCAGAACACCCCATTGTCCTGCTTCTCATCATACTTAGAATAAAAAGCATGTGGCCAGTGTGGCTCACAGCGCTGTGAGCTGCCACAGCTCGTAGCACGTCCTTCCCCGCAGCAGTCTGGCCACGTGGGCTTCCCGTGACTTTCTTTGAGTAGACTCATGTGTCCTCCTCCATCTCCTTGAATACTCTTCGTTTTTTACTTTTATTAGAGACTATATTACCAATCCAACAATTGAATTTGGATGGCCTTTGGAGCGTCTTTATTGAGATGTGGTTCACATGCCATAAAATTCACCCTTTTAAAGTATGCAATTCAGTGGGTTTTGGTATATTTACAAGGTCGTGCAACCATCGCTAGTATCAAACTCCAGTGCATTTTCTTCTGCCGGAAAAAGAAACCCCGTCGCCATTAGCAATCTCTCTCCCCGGATTCACCCCCGCCCCCGCCCCCAGCAGCCACTGTTCTTCTTTCTCTCTCTCTAGATTCCTACCTCTCTGCCTATTCCGGGATATTTCGTATAAACTTTGTGACTGACTTCATTCACTCAACATTTCAGTGCTCATCCACGTCGTGCATAAATCGTACTCGTCTTTATGGTCGAAAGGATTCCGTCACGTGGACGGACCGTGTTTTGTGTATCTGCTCCTCGGTTGGTGGACGTCATGGGATATTTTTCTCTCCCTCCTCCCGTGGTTTCCTTCTCCTTTCTCTTTACTTCTGGGCTAAAACTCACCCCGTGGCACTTCTCACCATCGGTATTCACATGTGTATTTGTTTGCCTGCTTTCTTTCTTTCCCCCATTTCGGACTGTAAGCTTCTTAGGACAGGGCCTGCATCTGCTCCTCTCCCCGCATCTGGCACCCTGCCTCGCATAGTCCTCGGCGTGGAGTCCTTTACGATTGCTGAATGAACAGCGCACTGTATCTCAGTTCTCGTTGACCTCCTCCTACGGCAAAGCGATTGTAACCCCGTTCTGTGGGAGACACCCCGTTCTGTGGGAGATAGCATATCTAGCTTTCTACCTGGTGTTGGGGAGAGAGCAAGAGTCCTAAAGCATGAGGACACTTTAAATGGGGCCAGGTTGGTTAGAGGGATTTCTCTGGTGTAGGACACTGTCCCATTGGTCATCTGGTTGTAAGACCACAATATTTATTATTTGAAAGCGCATTTGGCTGCTGGTAGCAGAGACCGGAAATAACAATGTTGCAAACTCAGTGGAAGGTGGTTTCTCTCATGAGATGTTCAGAGAGCGACAGTCCAGGTCTGTGTGGCAGCTCCGCGGTCATCAGGAAGAGCAGGCTCCTTCTGGCTTTCTGCTTCCCCATCCCTAGCACAAGGCTTTCATCCTGAAGGTGGCTTCAGGGGCCGGAGTGACTGCTGAAGTCAAACCGATGAGCGTGTAGTCCAGGGAAAGGTCATAAAAGTGTGTCCAGCTCTGTTTCTGGTGCGGAATTTCCCCGAAGTCCCACAACAATTAATGGCTGCCTCCTGTTGGCTGCCCGGAGCTGCAGGGGAGGCCGGGGGGTGGAGTCTTCGTTGAGCATCCCTGGAAGAATGGGAGAGTGGCTCCTGGGTGGGCAGCTGGCCCCTGGTGGGCCCGTTTCCTGCCCGTCGTACCCTGGGCCATGGCAGGCAGCTTGCGTTCGTTGGCCTGGACCGTCAAGCCTCCCTTCCACCCCTCAGTGGCCAGGGTCAGGGCAGCGTCTTTCTCTGCCTGGGTCACCAGAGGGCGGATTTTGAAACTTCTCAGGGGCCTTCGGTCCAGGAAACTCACCATGTCCAGCTCACCTTTATTGAACGCTTGCTACGTGATAGGTCCTGCCCCAAGCATTTGTCATGAAGTAATTTCCTTAATCCTCACAACACCCCTCTTATTATCCCTGTTCTATAGATGAGGAAACTGAGGCACAGAAAGGTTAAGTAGCTGTAGACGTTCTCACTGTTAATAATGTTGGTTTTTTGTTTTTTTTTTTTTGCATTCTTCCCTTTCAATATATTATGAATAAGAGGATTGGAAAATAAAGCCTGACCCATTTTGGTAGATTGACCACTGTTTTGTCTTTCATTTGATTAGCTGGGATGTGGAGAGTGCTTTGTGCAAAAGCGCCCAGCAGTCGAAACCACACTGACAAGCTGTTTTTATAGGAGTGCAGGAAGGGGCTTAACTGCTGGCCCGTCTAGCAGATGGCTGGCGACAGGAGGAAAAAGGATCCACAAGCTATGCAGGATTTCCCCAGCCAGGGAGCCTGGGGCCAGCAGGCCACAGTGCAGTTGTGCCAGTGGCTGGGCTTGGCCTTTAAAGTCACAGTCTCCCTGACTGCTCTTAGAGGTCTGTAGGGAGGTAGAAGCTGTGCCCGGTTCAGCTCCTCCGAGAATTAATTCAGGCACCAAGTCATCCCTGAATGCCTCTGATCAGCCACGCTTGGTGGAGATCTTTCCCAGAGGTCGCCCACAGTTCATCTTTGAGTGTTTTTGAGACACCTGCAGATCCACATTAGTGGCATTTTTCAGACTCTCCAGGGTGATGGCATGGCATGTGACTCCTGGAGCCTGGCCGTAGGAGGTGTTGGGTTAGTAATGCATTCAGCTGCAAGTATCAGAATGCACGAGTGGCATTGTCACTTCAACACCTAGGAGGTTGTTTGTGACATATGGGGTTGGATGTGGCTCAGTGACTTGGCAGAGTCAACACCAGTGCTGCTCTGACTCTCTGGCCCTTCTTGGCCACAAGATGTCTGCTGCACTCCCCTCCCCCCAGCCCCAGGAGTTCAGCCCTTCCATTCTGGCAAACTAGTGTTCCGGGGACCCTCTCAAACCTAGGTATCACGTCCACATTCCAGGCTGGAGAATGGCAGCTGGAGAAGGCAAAGGGCTTTTTGTGAGGAGAGCCAACACTTTCTCCGAATCCCCGAGTGAGGCACCTTCGCCTGCCCCAATGTGAAGATGTGCTGCTGTGCCGTCTTCGAGACACAGTTGTATTTTTCCTTTTGCATTCGGGTCTTTGATCCATCTGAAATCGATGTTTGAATGTGGAATCAGATAGGTTTCAAGGCAAGCCCATACTCTTAACCGCTGCGTTTAGAAGGTGGTGGTGGTGGTTCTGGAGCCAGACCCACTGGGTTCAAATTCCTCTTGGCAATGCCACTTCCATCCGTGCGATCTCGGGCTTGTTAAAAGCGGGCATGCTGGTGGACCCTGCATCACAGGACTGGAATGAGGGTTAAATGAGCTGATAGTTAAAGAGCTGAAAACTGCCTAGTCTCTTGTAAAATCAAAGCGAAAACCTCATGTTTCAAGTCAGAATGAGGATTTATTTGCAAAGCCACCTGGGTCTGGGAACTGGGCAGGGAATCCCAGACCCCAGTCTGTGCTGGTCGTGAAGCGTGTCACTGACGTTATTGTCTCTTCCTCTTTACAAGAAATTGCCAGCTGTTTTCTCAAAATGTCTGTTCCAGGGTGCATTCCCACTGCAGTGACTGAGTTCCCCTTACTCCATAACCTCGGCGTGTCTGGTGGCATCAGGCTGATATTTTTGCCAGTCTGCCGTGCATGAAATGGTCGCGTATTTCCCCGAGCAGTTTCTCTGCAGTGTCTATCTTCAGAAGGGCCCCTGGCACTTCTGAGTGAAGTCCTTAGAGCCTTGTATCATGATGCTTATCTTGGGTGGGGGATTGGGGACAAGAGATGAAGACGTGAGACCCTCGAAGTTAGTCACCCAGCCTTAGTCATCTCATGGACTGAATCAGTCAATGAAAGAACCAGGGCTCCGTGTGTTATTAATAGAATGTAGGTCGTAAGAGAAACGTGATTAATGGCAACTGTCATATACACATAACGGTTGAGGGCCTAGATTTTCCCAAGGCGAAGTCCTTTCTTCATAGCAGCCTTTCCTTGTTGGCAGGTGGGTCAAGGCCGTCGAATGAACAGGTGTTTTCCTGAGTCACTCTTTCGAAGACAGGTTGGGGGTGAGCATAATGAAAGCTTCTCTAAGTGAAGAATAATTGAACCTCGTCATTAATAGGTGAGTGAGTCCGCGATGTCCCAGTGCGAGGAGCTGCTAAAATCTAGGCAGGAGAGCGCAGCTTAAGGCAGAGGGCCCCGGTGGGCTTGGTTCCCCTTCACCTCTCATATCAGTGTCCAGATCAGCCACCTATACAGCCAGCTCATGGAGGAGATAGGCCTGGCTGCCCCCATCAGCACTTGGTCAGGAGGGGTGCACATGGCCAGGCCCTCTTAAAGGTTGAATGAACACTGCCCAGGCTAAGAGTCCTGCTCCCAGCCAGAAAGCAGAAGAGAGCCGGTCGCCATCTCTGGGCACGGAAAGAGAAAAGTGCTGGTAGGCCGGGTCCCAGCCTTGGGGCTGATAACCTGCCTACTGGAAAAGCAGGTGCCAGCAGAACTCACGATCTCTGACCGGTTGGATTAGCCATGTCCCTTCTTACTTGGTCTCGGTCTAAAGGAGAGTGGAGAGGTGTGAGTGATGAGCCTTTCCACATGTGTCAAGATGGAAATACAAAGGAAGACTAGAAGTGTCAGGCCCAAAGCACAGGAGCAGAAAGGCCCAGGGGCACCGGCTGCCTTGGGGTCCAGAGAACAGCACCCTGCTGACTGCCCCACAGAAGCTCCTCGCACAGAGCCATGACAATAGTGCCTGCTTCCTAGGCTTTCAGTGACGATCGAAACCTCAGTATTTTTGCCAGCCTTGGATTCCCAACCTCAGACAGAATAACTTTTCTATCCTTCGTTGGTCGCATCCACGGATGCGAAGGGCTAACGGTAGAGCCAAAAGTTTTCACAGATTTTCGACTGTGTGGTTGATCAGGGGTCAGCTGTACTTTGAGATGTGATGTAGGAGATTGGTTTTCAGTATGTCGATTGTGGAGTGATGGAACTTGGTCAGGCGCATCCCTGAAAGCCCATTTTATAAAACAGAAAAGCAGAGGTCCCGCAGCTAAATGGGGCCACGGAGGCCTGGGCTTCACCCGCTCCCCCTGACCCTCCTGGGGACCGTGCTCAGGGGAGTTCAACAGGGGACCTTCTGGGGCTCTAGGGAGGCCCAGCTCTGCCTTCAGCTGGCCGTGGGTCCCAAACAACTCATTTAACCATTCTGAGCCTCAGTTTCCATCAAGTGGACAGGTCGGACTAGGTCGAAGCATTCCTTACCCAATTCCTGTGGGCAGGAGCTTCGGAGCTCTCTGACATCCTGAGACAGGCAGTATTTTTTTCTTTTTTTTTGGTGGTGGTGGTGGTGAGTGGAGCCAGGGCGGGGGGGAGGGGGTTGCTGTTGTTTTTTTTCCTGGAGAGACATGACATAGTTTTGTTTTGTCAGCTTCTTAGAAGAATCATGTTCACCCAGACATGAAGGAGTGCTGTATTGATTTCTGAGGTCCCTTCCAGTTCTATCGGTCTGTTATTTCTGTTGTAAATGATAGAATCTCCTTAACTCAAACTGACTTGGACTGCAAAGGGAAGTAATGGCTCCAGGACCTAAATAATCCCACAGCTGGCCTGACTGGAGTCAGTACTTAGGTGTTCTCGTCAGGATTCTGCCCTTCTCCACTTCCGACCTCTACCTCCCTCAGCATTGACTTCATTCTCAGGTGCACCCCCATCCTCCCCACCCCCCGGTGGCAAAGTAGCCCTCAGCAGCCCCTGCCTGGCATCACACCCTTTCCCCCCAGTAATTCCAGCAAAACCCCAGGGCCAACTCCAGTCGGCCCTCCGTGGACCACGTGTTTCTCCCAGAGCCAGCCCGTCACCGTGGATGCAGGAAAGAGCCATTCAGGCTAGAAGTCGGGCCAGGATAGCCCCTCGCCCCAGGTGCTCTCATCTGAGATTCCGTTTGTTGATATAAACCCTGGAAAGCGAGCTGTTCGGCCCTGTGAGTGTAACACATGCGGCAGGTGGGTGGGGGCTGTCGCTCAGGTGGGTGTGCTGGGACTGCAGAGGCAACTCCAAGGACATCCTCCCTTCCTGGGGGCGTGAGGAGGGGCTCTGGGACATCTGGGATTCTGGCTGAATTCCTGGCCCTGTAGCCCACCTTTGCTGCCATTTCCACAACCTCTCGGCATCTTTCTCTCTGCGGTAGCCCCTCCCATGTACGAGGGACCCCAGACTGATGGACATCACAGCTTCCTCCTGTTGGCAGGAAATGGATGGATCCCCAGCTCAGAGAGACGGGCTACCACTGCACATCACTGCTGAGCCTTTAAAGAGCCATACTAGAGGGAAAAAGGGAGTGAAATGAGAGTGGCAGAAAAGTAATTTCCGTTGAAATTTAAAAGGCAGCTATTAAAATTTTACAGGAGCTTTATTGCAGGGGCTTCCTGATAGTCTTAGGTATTTTTTAAGCGGGAAGTCTGGTGATGAAGGAAACTGTTCTGGATGCTTCTGGTTTCCTATTGCCCTGCCAAGCGTCTTGCAAACCAAAATTGTTAGGACTCCGAAGACCAGCTTAGGGATGGTAGCGACCCGAGAGGCTATTTTTGAGCTTTTAAAGACTGTGCGTTTTTCTGTATTTGCTGTTTTCTGTGTGTAGTAACTATTTCTAATTTTGTGCTTTCCTAAGTGGTTTGGTAGTGAGCTACAGGGATCGTTAAGAATTGCAGTCGCCTCTGCCCTTCTGTGTTAGTTGAGAGTCATTCAGTTGTGTGAACAGATAGAAATCCAGGTCAACCTGAAGTATTAAAGGAAATAAATGTATGGACTCACAGCCTAGGACGTTTTACCTGTAACGAATGGCTTCAGGCCAGGCCCCTGTTTCTTTCCGCCTCCCTGCTCTGCATTTCTCTGTGTTGGTTTTAATCTCAGACTCTTAGGCAGCTCCCCATGTGTATCCCACCATCTTAGCAGCCCCCTGGGGAAACGGTCACTTTCCCCGTAGTCCCAGCACGTGTCCTGCAACTGGTTGGTGTTTAGTAGACCCAGTCGGCCTGGCTTCAGTGCCAGGGCCACCCCAAGCCATCTCTGAGCCTAGGGGCAGGGAGGAGGGGGTGCAGTGGCTATATTAGTCAGGCATGGATCACATGACCCCTCTTCCCTACTAACCCATGGGTAGAGTCATTCTCATAGGAACTTCATGGGTTGAGTGGGAAAAGTGAGGTTCAGGGGGCTGACCCAGAAAGGGGAATGGATGCAGTGTGAGCCATAACAGCCATACAGAGTTCACCTCTTTGCATACAAAGTTCACTGCATCTGAGTCTGCCTCCACCCAACTGTTATCTTCCCTGGGAACACGTTCTACCTTTCCCTGTCTCAGGTCGCGCTTAGGAGTTCTTAATCTCAGGACCATGGACCCTTGAAAGGCCCTTGGATGGACCTTAGAGGCCCATGAAGTTGGCTGGGAAAAAATTACGTCTTTATTTTCTCTACCATCTAACTGAAATACAACATTTTCTTTCCTTCTGAAAGAGGGCCACAGCCACAGTTGTATTAGCTACACCTGTGACTTTGTCACCACTAGAAATCACAAATATTTCCATATCACATTATAGTTGTTACACATATCACAAAATATAATTACACTGTTTTCAAATTACTACAGTTATTGGACCCACCACTGAGCTCTCTCTTGTAATTTAAAACATTCATAAAGAAGCATGTATATTACCGTATCTCACATTTGCTTGTGTTTTACAGATATTTTGATATCTGAATATAATTGATTTCCTTTGTGATCTTGTGCATTGTATTTTATACAATTAAAAACATGATTCTGAGAAGTCCACACCCTTCTTTACCAGACTGCCAACAAGGATCCCTAGCATGAGCAAGATTACGAGCCCTTTTAGCTTCTCCAGGAGCCCCTAGGGACAAGATTTTTGAAACTGTCCTGGTTCCTAGACTCAAAAGTTGGCTAGTTGCCTATTACGTTTCCTTCCTGAGAGGCTTCCTGGAGGAGCTGGCTGGTGTTTTGAACTCGGCCTTGGCACGTGGGTAGCATTTGGACATAGCGATATCGGGGAAGAGGGGCAGGGAGGCATCGCCAGCCTGCGGTTATCCCTGTCTTCGTTAACTCTCATAAAGTGTCACCGAGCCAAGTGGTCAGGAACAGGCTCTGGAGCCAGGCTGCCTGGGTTCATCCCACCTATAGCTGGCTGGGTGCCTCCTTACGCATTCAGTGCCTCAGTTTCCTCATCTGTAGCACGGATGTAATAATTGTATCTATTCCTTAGAGTTATTGAGAGAGTGAGATGAGTTGATGCATGGCTGCTAGGATAGAACCCGGCACGTAGGGAGAAAGAGTTATTATTTAATGGCCAATCTATTAGGGAGGATCTAGGTTGTCCTCTCTGACCTCATCTCTCTGACCGAGTGCCTGGTCTAAACTAAAATGGGATGGCGAACAGTGTAGACAGTAGCTTCTTAGCCTGGAGACATTCATTTACCCGTGAAATACCCATTCAAATATGAACAACTACACTAAATATTCAAAAACATAAATTAATAATATTAAGTTTCCATGAAATAGCCATTCAAATATAAACAACCATGCTAAATATTCAAAAGCATAAATTAATAACATAAAGTTACAAGTGCTGTTTATCTGCCACTCCTCAGAATTGTCTGAAGGAAATGTCCTCATGATGGCCTACCATCTGTCCCTGTCACTTCCCGTCCTCATCTCCCACTGCCTGTCCCCTCACACACCCTGCGCCGGGCACACGGGCCTCCCACTGCTCCTCAGATTCTTCAATACATATGCCCGCGCCCAGGTCCTTCACACTGGCCATTCCAGTGGTCCGGAAGGCTCTTGCCACATAGTCACACAGTTCGTGGTCTCCTACGTTCAGGTCTCTGTCCTGTCCTCAGGCCACCTCTGACCACTCTGTGAAGTAGCAGCCACATGACTCCTCACTCTGCTCCGATTTCGTGTTGTGTTTGTTTATTGTCTTCCTCCCCTACTAGAATGTCTGCTCCCTAAGGACAGCGACTTCGTCTTGGTCACTGGTGTCACCTCAGTGCCTGGTACAGAGCAGGTGTTCAGTAAATATTTATTGAGGGAGTGAATTTGCATATGACAGATGGATTCTGCAGCAGGAAGGTTCCAGTCGGCCAACGACCTAACCTCGTTTTTTTCCTCTCTGTAGATGCACAGACTTTGATTTTGACATCGACTCTTCTGGGACCCTCAAGGGACACTAGAGTCCAGAACGTACTAAGGGTGAGTACAGTGTGGCTATTTGTTTGCTTAAATTTTAAAGCTGGTACACCTGAGCCTATTTATTATTTTTTAAAAAATTATTCAGAAGAGTATCAAGGGAAAGATGGGAG